AACCCAAGAAAAGGTCTCCATCCTCATACTCAAGTACGATGGGCGGTATGTATACATCCTGGTGCAGAAACGCTTGCACAGCAGCATAGTTGGCCTGGCGATCAAGAATCAAGCTCATCCGATTGTCCACGTATCGAACCACAAGGCCGAAGGTTGGCAAGCGAGAAGACTCTAACAGACATTTTCCAAAGTACATGTGCTCGTATAGGCTTACCACGGCATGGCAAGCTGCCGGAGAGAAATGGCTTCCCATCGGTGCACCTCGGATTTGTTGAATGGCCTGCTGACCCACCATGAATAGATTGAACTTGAAAGACACCTGTACAGCCTCCAGAAATAGGTCCATTGGGACGGCAACTCGTTTGTCATTCAACAGGCAATGCCGACCACGGATAGTTTTCATAACCGACATGTTGTTTTCCAAGTCCACAGTCACCACAACGCCTTTCAAGGCATGATCAAGATCCGCATCCGAGACGTCGTAAAAACGACAAAGCAATATGCGAAAGGTAATCATGAACCGCTCCCTTGGAATGCTCACGAAACAACCTGACAAGTCTTGATTGCGCATGGCAAGCTTCTGTCTGTCTTGATCAGAGCTGTGACATCGCTTCTCAAAGAAAGCGTGTATGTTCTGCCAAAGCAAGATTGCATCGTTGTAAGATCGGGTGTGAGGACACACCTCAGCAACAAGCATCTCTGTGACTCGCGCCATCACAACCAAGAACTGGCGAGCCGGGTGAGAGGCAAAACTAACGATTGGCCTGCCTCCTTTCCATTCTTTCTTGAACTTGGGGAGAATGTAAGCCCATGACACACGGGCAGCACGAGATCCAAAACGGAAGGGAAAGGATTCAAGAATCCGAGGTGGCACTGCATGTTCCATCTGAACCATAATCGTCGAAGGATTTAACGACAATGGCTTGAAGACCGATTCAGCAGTAAAAGTGTTCTGGAGCATCATCCAGTACTTCACAGGGCAAAAAACATGCGCATGCGAGCCTTCATGATCTCGAACATGCCACACCAATCCTTTGGTCCTTTTTCGCAACTCACGAACCTGATCAACCGACCAATGTGTTCCGACGTGTTGTGAGTGCATCTTCCATGCCTTCTGCCACACACTTCGAATATCAATAGTCGGATAATGCATCAAGCCATGATAATCGATCCAATGCCTCACGTCTTCAAGAAACATCGTCCAATGATCCGTGGCGTTCATGAATACCGGATTGGAGCAACTGGACTGGGCCAACTGAGTCAAATCAGGTGGCAGGGTCAGCAACGTGGCAGAAGAAGCAATGTGACCCTGGACAACAGTCAGGTGTGGATGACGTCGAAGAAGTTCGTGGCAGCAACATGTGACACCAGCCTGTTGCGGCTACTCATGCGGGTCCCACGACTGCAAGATTGGTTTATGCGAAAACAACACATCTTTGATTTTAGGGTGACTTTTGGCAACGAGCGAGGTCGCTGGAATGTGGTACGGCAGCAGTCGATCCGTCGATACATCCAAAATATCTCCCAACATGCCACGAACCAAGCGTTTGAAGCCTACTTCAGGCAGCAAGAACGGAGTGGAAAGGGGGCGGCATGTAGTTGGGCACCTCAACTGTCGAAATTGCAGCACAGTGTTCAATCTGGACCTGCAGATCGTCTCATAGAACGGGTCACCCAGATGAGTGGCCATCCTGAATAATCTGTAGAGAAAATCCGAGTCAACTCGGTTGCTGCGCAGATATTTTTGGGCAAGAAAGGACTTCAACCCGTCAGAAGCTAAGTCAAACAGAATCTGATAACTGTATACAATGTTCTGAACAATGTGTGTCGAACGGAAGACCGAAGGAGTCAGTCCAGTAAGCTGGAAATTCCGACGTCGAAAGCGTCGAAAAGTTCTCCACGAAGTCACAAATCTGCGAACACATCTGACTGGATCCGAGTTGGCAATCTGTGCATGTTTTGCTCTGACAAGAGAGCGAACCCAAGGAGCATTGAGGTGAGGCTGTAGCAAATTGATAAATGTCTGTTCAATTGTGTGCAAACAATCGACCTGTGGGACATGCATGATCAACAGAGGAATGGCCATGTGATAATTCTGTCGTCGATAATGCCAAAAAAGTTTACGGCACACTGACTTGCCGGCCCTGATCTGTTGGAATTTCCCCCATCTTGTACGCTCACGGTCGCCCAGTGTTTGGGATGATGATCCGACATACATGAATTTCTGTAACTCAGGCTGGAGAAAGATGCGACAATAAATCACCGACTGCGTCTGAAAGAATTTCCAGGTGTAGCTGGAGCATTTTAAACGTAGCTGAGAGGTCAATGGCGACTGTACAAGCCCGAACTCACAAGCAAGCAAAAGGAGTTTTCCACGGATCCAAATAACAATGTCCATGCACTGTCGTCCGAACATGGTAGGTGTCTCGTAGAGACCTTGGAAAAAAAAATGAGCATTCCGAAGTAAATCCACTTCACTTCGGTGCCGTTTCCACCAACCTTGTGGCGGATTGTCGTTGCCATACATGTCCCTGGCATCCAGTATGGCCTGTAGTCAAGCCACAAGAATTGTTCCGGCAGCAAGAATACGGAGCAGAGAATTCGCCTTAAGCTTGGGAAGCCTAAGGCTCGGCTGACTCGGCGACCGGTGCCACTGGCGGTGCGGCAGCTTCGAGACTTCAATCCCGGACCCACGGCGCCCCCCTGAGACACTGAGACATGTGAGACATCTGAGACGTCGGGTGGTTCGGGCTCACCGGGACCCCCCTGAGACACTGAGACATCTGAGACATTGAGACATCTGAGACGTCGGGTGGTTCGGGCTCACCGGGGCCCCCTGAGACACTGAGACATCTGAGACATTGAGACATCTGAGACGTCGGGTGGTTCGGGCTCACCGGGGCCCCCTGAGACACTGAGACATCTGAGACATTGAGACATCTGAGACGTCGGGTGGTTCGGGCTCACCGGGGCCCCCTGAGACACTGAGACATCTGAGACATTGAGACATCTGAGACGTCGGGTGGTTCGGGCTCACCGGGGCCCCCTGAGACACTGAGACATCTGAGACATTGAGACAAATGGCCTTGATCCCGGGGTCAAGTGTCTCAATGTCTCAATGTCTCACCAGGGTTCCTCCTGGGGAGGATATGGTGGACACCCTGCCTTGATCCCGGGGTCAATTGTCTCAATGTCTCAATGTCTCAGCGGGGTCCTCCTGGGGAGGATATGGTGGACACCCTGCCTTGATCCCGGGGTCAATTGTCTCAATGTCTCAGCGGGGTCCTCCTGGGGAGGATATGGTGGACACCCTGCCTTGATCCCGGGGTCAATTGTCTCAATGTCTCAATGTCTCACCAGGGGTCCTCCTGGGGAGGATATGGTGGACACCCTGCCTTGATCCCGGGGTCAATTGTCTCAATGTCTCGATGTCTCAGCGGGGTCTTCCTTTGGGATCAGAGAGCATCGCATCGGCGAGCATCCAGAGCATCAAAAAAGAAATGAGGTTCAGGCTAGGGTGCGGGACGGCAACCAAAAAAAAAGCTAGACCGGCCCTACCTAAACCGGGGACGTCCCCCCTAGCCGGTAACCTTACACACACACTGTGCCACGCAGGGACGATGCAGGGCAGCCTAGTCGGGCTAGGGGTTCTAGGGTTCGGGGATCGAGAGGTTCGGGCGTTAAGGTAACCGAGCCAACCGACAAGACACACGCGCACTTGCAGGGCAGCCTAGTCGGGCTAGGGGTTCTAGGGGGTTCGGGGATCAAGAGGTTCGGGCGTTAAGGTAACCGGGCCGACCGACAAGACACACGCGCACTTGCAGGGCAGCCTAGTCGGGCTAGGGGTTCTAGGGGGTTCGGGGATCGAGAGGTTCGGGCGTTAAGGTAACCGGGCCAACCGACAAGACACACGCGCACTTGCAGGGCAGCCTAGTCGGGCTAGGGGTTCTAGGGGGTTCGGGGATCGAGAGGTTCGGGCGTTAAGGTAACCGGGCCAACCGACAAGACACGCGCGCACTTGCAGGGCAGCCTAGTCGGGCTAGGGTTCTAGGGGGTTCGGGGTACGAGGGTTCGGGGCTTAGGGACAACCGGGAAACCCTCAACATGCACTCTGCGGGCCGCGACCGGTGTTCGAATGGACCTGCTCGGCAGCTGCTTCGAAACATAACGAAAGGAGCACTCCTGTTGGGCCTCGTCCGTGACTTCTCCTCGGATGGACCTGCTCGGGAGCTGCTTCGAAACATGACCACGCGAACGCTGTGTGGCCTCGTCTTCTTCTGCATCGGGTCCGGCCCGCCCGCCCGGTCCCAGGTAACAAAGAGCCGCTGACCACTGAGCGCGGAAGTACACTCAGCCCTCAAGCATGCTGCGCTCACAGAACGACATGCGGACAATTGCACTCCACGGTCTTCGGTGGTCTTTTTTGACACTCCTGTCGATGCTGTGCGAGGTCGGCCGATCTGCCCCGTCGCGGCGTCCCCTGTGCACTGGGATCTTCCGAGACTGGCCAGACCGGGCCCTAGCCCCCCGGTCGCCCTCCTTGCCCCACTCAGCCCTTTTCCACGCATTTAGGGTTTCCAAACAGAGATTGTTTACAAATTTGAAATATTGCTTGTAAGGCAGACTTAAAGGGTTTTTTACTGCATGTATGTGTTGAACCGGCCCTGACCCTAAGTCTTCTAGGCATCTAGATACGATGCTGTCTGACTCTAAGTAACCAAACAGGTGTGCAAGGAGGGTGGACCATCCGAGCTCATCCGCTGCTCTCGGCGGCGGTCGACTGTGTCGGCTCCTTGCCACCGCAGGGCACTCACAGGGCAGCCTAGTAAGGTTCAGGGTTCTGAAGGATTCGGGCGCTGAGGGGCCGGACTTAGGGATAACCGGGGACCTGCACGACACGAGAGCTTAATCTAAACGTGGTGTGGCCAGGAATTAGTGACATCTTTGCTGCAGTCATCTAGTTCACTACAGCAGTGACCTAGATCGCTACTGCTGCCGATCTAAGCCCGCCACTTGCAGCAAAACTGACCACACCGAAGACTGGCATGATGCACATCGCAAACCTTGACATGTGAAACTGAGAGAGACCGTGCAAAAGGATGTGCAGAGCTAGATGGGGCCTGCACAGCACTGATTCTCCGATACAAATCACATCACCCGGCCTTTCAAGTCCGTCGCGGCAAAAAGCCGTAGCAATCTTGCCTAGCAGTGATGCCGTCATGCGGAAGTTGAATGGAAGATCACGGAGCCGAGGGTTGGGCTCGCTGGTGTCCTGGCGCAGTGAGGTCGATGAGAATTTGACGAGTTGCCACTTTCCAGCCTGCCAGCATCGGAGGCTAGGGGAAGGATCCAACAGAAAAGGCAGTCTGGGGCTCCGCGCTTCTTGTGAGTACAGGTAGATGTCGATTTGATCAGGATCAACGTTTCGTAGGGCGTTAGACTTCATCTGCTTGATGGCCTCGTGACTTGCACAAATGTCGGGACGGGCAGCAAAGGAAGCATGCCGAGGCCGGGGCTTTCTTCAAGTGGTCCACATCATTGAGGCGCGGGTAGTCCTGCTGAAATGCAGCCACCAAATTCCACTTCACATGGCACGGCGACGATGGCCTGAGGGGACTCCACTTTGAACGCCGGCTCGAGCTCATCCTCGCCCTCAGGGTCTTGACGAGACCTTATCTGCGCAGAGGCGCTGCTCCCAAAACGACCGGCTCCTTGGGCCTCAGCTTGGCGGCGACCGTCCCATCCTGCGCGGCGAGCGGTGTCGAAACTCCCAGCCCCGAACCACCTCCCGAAGCCCCTCCCCGGCGTGTCATGCTCCGCCCCTGCCGACGCTCAGAAACACTCCAGCAATCCGGAGCCCAGCCCCTCCCCCACGCCCCGCGCCCCGCGCCCCCACCAAGCCCGGCCAAGAACTCCACCACAGGGCTAACACCGTGTGTGCTCACAACAGTGTCCTTGTTCGGGGCCACCTCCCGCACCCAGACGACGGATGAGGTTGAGGTTCGGCCTGCAGAACCCCGCAGAACGACGTGCCAAGGTAGAAACCACAGCCGTGCATAAGTCATGCAAATGTTAACCCTGCGGATGCCTGCAAGTTGTTGCTCCAATCTGTCCACCTTCACTCTTGCCTGGTTTGCCTCTTCTCTTGCCTCGTTTGCCTCTGCTCTTGCCACGCTTGATTCTGCTTTGGCCTCGCTTGCAATCTCCAATGCTGCGGGCAACGCACGGTCTGCTTGCAAAAAAGCAATGTGCAACTTGCCCTTCTGCAGCAACTCCTGCACGTAGGTAAGACCCAGTGTGTCCAGCACGCTCTGTATGTCTATCTGCAGAGCCGCGCGATTGAACACAATCGCATAGCCAGTCGAGTCTGGATCAAGTTGCTGTGCTTTCAAGCCACGCGGTTCATCATTGACCAAGAACCCGCAACGCTCAACTAAGCGGCATTGGATCTCGATCTGCAAAAGTTTCATTGCGACAAGACGACTGTCCGAACAAGCTTCCACCAGAACACAGGTGGTGCCTGCGTAGGTCGCAAGAACTAAAGCGTCAGTCACCTGGTTGAGCTTGCTCAGCAATTCACCAAAGCTACCATGGAACACCGCGTCAATCTCAGCTTCCTCTTCACCGACACCTCTTGCTAGCACTCTTTGCCCAGCGTTGTCTGACACACGTTCTCGCAGGAAAGCTGCAACGTTTTCTTTGAGCTGTTCTACTTGTGTTCGCTCATCGGGCCCTTGTTGTCTGACAGCTTTGAGTTTGCGGCTAAGGCCATTGATGACGCTAGCAACTAGGCCTTCATACTGACTGCCGCTCTGCTGGCTGATGCGACTGTCTGAAAAAGCTGCGGGATGGCCAGCCTTATCCAGCATGCAGCATGCTCCATCAAGCCGTTCTCGACTTGGTGCAACATGCTGCTGCTGAGAATGCTGCGCAAGCCCCCAATCTTGCTGGCTTCCCGCATTCCCCCAATCTTGCTGGCTTCCCGCATTCCAACATCCCTGGTCCCAGGACCACTGCGGCGAATGATGTGCCATGGCAGTTGTTGCTACAACGCGGAAACACTGCAACAGTGTAGAAATCTTAACATGGCAACTGCAATACGGTGACTTGTATCCGCGTGAGGCCTTCAGAAAATAGCACACTGGGCCCAAGCTGCGAGCAAACGCATTGTGGGTGCGGCGTTGATATACGAGGTCTGCCCGTTGATCTCCTAACGGAGCTTGGTGGTCTCATTGAGCTTGTGAAGAACTGCCTCTGCTGACAAGTATGGAATGTTGATCAAGACGCCACCTTCATCCATGATTTTTCTCGCGTCACGATCAGACGTGTGCCACTAAGCGGGCATGCCGCATGCTCCGCCCCTGTCGACGAGCGTCCGAGACACACTGGAGCCCAGATCCCAACAGCTTCGTGCCCCAACCTGCGTTCAGCTGAATGCTACTGATGCTCTCGGTCAGCCTTGCGCTCCATTACCGGCACTTGGTCTCACACAGCGGATAACTTGACGATGTCGTGCTGCGCCGTGCGCCAATCGATGGCAAATCCAAAAGTGGAATTACTCAAACTGGGGGCTTCTACTGCGTACAGGAAGCTTGAAAAGAACGATGTTGAGGGAACAAAAACAGCCATGCCGACAGGGCAACCGTCGCTCTTAAGGAACACCGTTGTGCCACCCGTGAAGCTGTGCTCGGCATCCAATATACAGTGCGACCACTTACTCAACGAAGCCGTGCACCTGGGGCAATCCCGCCCGCCTGTTCCGCACACCCTCCTTTGCCAGTGGTAGACCATCATCCGCGTGCAGGGCAGGGAGAGCGAGTACGGCGGCCACAAGGCGACGCCACATGGCTGCTCACAAGCACTGAGGCTACGCTATCGCGGAACTTCACTTGTCCAGCTTGTGGTGTTTTGTGGGGCCAACGGGGCCGGCACCGAAACAAATCCCATGTGTGACGATTTTCCAACATGCGCTCTGCAAGAAACCAAAGGAGAGTGGCAGATAAGACTCTGATTGATTCGCACATAGAACTACACTGCATGGCACCGGGGGCAACGCGAAGAAAACGACAAACGCCAGTGTGGAAAAAGCATGAAAAAGCAAAAGCTTGCCCCGACCGAAACTGGCCTCACTGGGATTCAAGAACACTGCCCGAGCCTTCCAGAACTGCTCAAGAACAAGTCCACCCAAACTGCTTTTTGGGAACGGGAGAGTGCTCAATCATGGGCTAAATGTGCCAAATGACCACGTAGACTTCGAACCCCATGAAGCACAACACCATGCTTTGTGGAACATTTGAGCTTGTGAAATACTTTTCTTGGAGGGGAGGTTTAGAGGCAAGGTGCCTGGGGCCGCAGGTTGAGCCGAGCTGTACAACGCCGCACACGCAGCGGAAGTACGCTTCATATCTTCAGAGTGGCCCTGCTTCAGAGCCCCCAGACGTTCGAAGATGCCGCGACGGCGGGGGGCGACGACGGCGGGCGACGGCAAACGGCGGGGGCGGGCACAGCGACGACGACGACGGGCGACGACGGCGACCCGGCGAGGATGCACGGCTAGGACGCTCGATGTCGCACTCGGCTCGGACGATGAGCTCACGACGCTCGGCTCGGACGACCCTGCGACGACGGTGACGGCGGCGGTGACAGTAAGTTTGAAGGCATGGTCAATTGCGAGAGATGGGGTGCTGCGGGGTTAGGGCGGCAAAGCAAGATCAAACCTACTGCGGTGACCGAAAAACCACACCCAAAAACAACAACACACGAAAGCACTCAAACAAAATGGTACTGCGAAAGTCGGCGAGACCAACGAAACTACTGACTACAAAGCAAAAACTAGCATCACCGAAGAAAAAATCCATCGCTCCAAGCAACAACCGCTTGCCAAAAGAGGGGCGAGACAAGCGAGACATTGAGACAAAATCCCTTCTACCAGCCCGGGCCCCCCGGAGAGACGAGGGAGGCAAGCGAGACATTGCGAGAACTGTTTTGTTTCGTGGTGTCGCTTGTCTCAGCAGGTCTGTCCCAATCGGTGCTCATCATCGTAAACCCCCGCGGATCCGGTCGACGATCTGTGGCTTGCGAGCAAAAATCGTGCACTCACTTTCTCGGGGCTGGCTGTGTCGCTTTTGGCCGGCGGGCCCAGAACATGCGCTCAACGTGAGCGGGGTTCATGCAAAAAATCGGGGCCGCGGCAGGCCCGTGATGCCCGGCGATTCTGTGTGGCTGTGTTCGACCCATCCTAAACCCTCCCCGACGCCCCGGAACGTGGCTGGCACCGATTTGACAGAGAAAGTGCGATTCGGCAGACATCGTGCTCAAAACCCAGGCGGGTGGAAGCCCGAAATCGGGGATGGACCGTGGCGTGGTCGGCTCGCAAAACGGCCGGCCGCCGGGGGCCGTCGGGGCGCACCCTCCCCGGGCGGCTTCAAAATCCAACAAAATTGGGGTGCGGCATGGTGTTTTAGGCACATGCGCGTTTTTGGTGATAAATGTCGTCAATGTCAATCAAATATGGAATTGGCGTGCCACAATATCGTGGAGGAGCCCACCGAAGCCAACCTGGTTAGGCTGTTGGACCTGTGGTCGGCGGAATGGAGGCATCAAGTGCGCACCCGTGTCGTAGGGCCTGGAGCGTTCGAGAAGTACTGCACGCTGGGCTTCTTCGGGCACGGCGGAGTGTGTGGTGTATCCAACGCAACGAGCAAGCGAGCGGCTTGCACTGCAGTGAACCGTTTCTTGAAGAGTCGCTTTCCGAACGGCACCTGGACCTCCATCGCCGTGCTTTTCAACCCTCGCATGGGCCTGCACCGCGACATTCAGAACATGCCAGGGCACTTGAATCATGCTTTGGCTCTCGGCGATTACACCGGGGGGCGGGCGTGGATCGAAGACGACCAGGGCGACTCTACCGCGCTGCTGGCCGGCAAGAAGGGCGACCGGGAGCTGCGGGGACGATGGCTGGACATGCACGACAAGCCCGTTAGCTTCAATGCTCGCCGATATCACATGGTGGAGCCACACCAGGGCAGCATGTGGGCTCTCGCAGCTTATGTTCCGCAAGCCTACGCTCGCTCGACTGAGCAGCACCGAGAGGCGCTGAGAGAAGCGAGCTTTCCCTTGCCTGCTTGAACAAGTCTCTTGCCACAGAAAGACGAGAGAGACAAAGAGACATTGAGACAACCGGTTGTCTCATTGTCTCAGTTGTCTCAACGGGGCTTTTGCTCTCTCTGGGGAGGGTGTTCCAGCACTCCACTCTGTGATAGCTACAGGCCTCAATTCAAGACATGGGTCAGAATTCGGTACTTTGGAGCACAGTCGATTCGCGGGCCTACGGCCCGCAGCTCGGACGATCTTAGGGGCTCTTAAAGTCTTTGCAAAACGGGCTTTAGGGGTGCTTTTCGCGCGCAGCACTTCGAAGCAGCTTCGTGGTGCTTTCAGAGCAGTGGACAAGCAACTTAAAAGCTACTGCTCGCAACTTACGAGCACTCGCCAGCAGCTTACGAGCTACTTGCTGGCAACTTACGAGCACTCGCCAGCAACTCACGAGCTACTTGCTGGCAACGCACTCGCCAGCAGCTTACGAGCTGCTTGCTGGCTGGCAACTTACGAGCACTTGCTAGCAGCTTACGAGCTGCCTTTGAGCTGCTTCCGCGCCCTCCGCGCCGAACGAGCGCGCGAAGCTAGGACCTTTCCAGACCAGCGCCGGCTGAGACATTGAGACTTTGAGCAGTCAGGCGGACGTGCCTCAAAGTAGAAGAATTCGCGACCCCCAAAATGGGGCCGTTTGGCGGCGCCATTTTTGGGGTCGGGGTTCCAAGCCTCCAACTCCTGCTCAAACTATATATTTAATGAGGCGGGCACATGTCGCAGCCCTGTTTTCGGGGCCCGAAACGGCCCCATTTTTGGGGTCGCAAATCGCAAATGTTCGGGGCCAACCAGCTGGATCTCGGGCGTGCGCCTGCCTGCCTTTGTTCCCGCAGTTTTGGGCATCATGCAGACGCAAGATTGAAAAGCCAGAAGTCTTGTCCGAAGCAGCTGCACGCTCACCTTAAATGCCACAACCAGCGGATTTGCAACTGTACGTGTTTTTTACTTATGTATTGTTTGCTTGTTTGTCCGAACCGAGTGCTACAGGCGTTGTCAACAGGCCCAGTCAAGCCAAAAAAAAAAGCTGGCAAGAATAATGTTTTACTTGGAGCCGCCCAAACCTTCAGTGAGCAGAAACAAAAAACGCGCTGCTGATGCACAGAGCAGGTGAGCGCCTGCGCGCATCCGGCCAACCCACACCAAGAAAAAGGTTTTGGAGAAACTGCACAAAGCATAAACTTGCCAGTTGCAAGAAACGTTTTTTTTCCCTGGATGTTACATTGCGTCTTTGTGACATCCGGAAGTGTACGGAAAGACAGAATGGGCAGACTAATGGTAAGCAGAAAGTAACAGAATGCAGACCTGTGAACTTGCGAGCAATGCGCGCTTCATAAGTAGCTCGAAAGCTGCCGGCGAGTGGCGAAACTTTCGGTGAACTATCTTGAATTTCGGTTATTTCGGTTGGCAAGAAGCTCGTGCGCTGCTCGCAAGAAGCTTGTGAGCTGCCGGCAAGAACGGTGCTGGCAGGACCAGGATGTGAGTTGCGAGCAAGCAGCTCGTAAGCTCCTGAACGGCGCTGGCAAGGACCTGCGCAGGACGCTCGAAGAATTTTCAGGGCTGTCAACCAATCTGACTGTCCCTATTTTTCAATCAACTTGATTGACAAATGCTCCGAGAATTTTCCGATCCGGCTGGTGAGCTGCTCGGAAGCTCGCTCGGCAAGCACTCCGAAGCTGCTGAGCAGCAGCTCTTAAGTCGCTCCGAAGCTGCTGGCCAGTGCTCGTAAGTTGCCAGCAAGTAGCTCGTAAGCTGCTGGCAAGTGCTCGTCAGCTGCTGCCGAGTTGCGCGCCCCTAAAGTTCCTCTAAAGCCCGTTTTGCAAAGACTTTAGAGCCCCTAAGATCGTCGGAGCTGCGGGCCGTAGGCCCGCGAATCGATAGTGCTCCAAAGTATCGAATTCTGACCCATGTCTTGAATTGAGGCCTGTAGCTATCACAGAGTGGAGTGCTGGAACACCCTTCCCAGAGAGAGCGAAAAGCTGCCCTTCCACCCCTTTCCATGTTGTGCTTTGCACATCCTGATCTTGAGCCCGTTTTTGATGATCAGGAGCTTTATTTTTCCACGCTTTCCACGTTTTCCAGGTGTTCGGAGTTCACTTTGGAACCCTGCTCTTCGAGCCCTGTTTTGGCGTCCAGGAGCTTCATTTTTCCACGCTTTCCATGTTGTCTTTTTGGGCCCTCCCAACACCCCCCCCGGAAACCCCGGAAATCGCGGAAATCGTGGAAGTGACCTGTCCGGGATCTGGGCGACGACCCGCGATTCGAAAAAAAAAAACTCCTTCGAGCAACCCCCCAGTCGTATATATATAAGGAAGCCACCCTGTTATTTTGGCTGGGGGTTCAAGCAGGCAGCGGAAAGCCCGCTTCTCTCAGCGCTTGCCGGTGCTGCTCCGTCGCCCGAGCATAGGCTTGCGGAACATAAGCAGCGAGTGCCCACATGCTGCCCTCGTGCGGTTCCACCATGTGATACCGGCGAGCATCGAAGCTCACCGGCTTGTCGTGCATGTCCAGCCACCGACCCCGCAGCTCTCGCTCCCCTTTCTTGTCGGCCAGCCATGCCGTCGAGTCCCCCTCGTCATCTTCGATCCACACCCGCCCTCCTGTGTAGTCGCCCAGAGCAAGCGCATGATTCAAGTGCCCCGGCTGTTCTGAATGTCGCGGTGCAGCCCCATGCGCGGATTGAAGAGCACGGCGATGGAGGTCCAGGTGCCGTTCGGAAAGCGGCTCTTGAGAAAGCTGTTCACGGCTGCACAGGCATCCCGCAGGCCCGTGGCATTGGAGACACCGACCACGCCGCCGTGCCCGAAAAGCCCCAGCGTGGCATATCGCTCATAGGCCCCCGGCCCCACCGCCCGAGTGCGGCCCCGGTGCTTCCAGTCCACCGACCACAGATCCAGCAGCCGCACGAGATTGGCTTCGGTCGGCTCCTCCGTGGCCGTCCGGCACGCCAAATCCATCTTTTACATTGACAGCATTTATCACTCCAAACACGCATGGCCCTAAAACACCATGCCGCACCCCAATTTTTCGGGATTTTGAAGCCGCCCGGGGAGGGTGCGCCCCGACGGCCCCGGGCAGCCGGCCGTTTTGCGAGCCGACCACGCATCGGCGAGAGCCCGATTTCGGTGTGTCCCCCGCCTAGCGTTTGAGCACGATTTCGGCCGGATCGGCCCTTCCCTGTCAGATCGGTGCCGGCAAGCCACGGAACGTGGGCCGGGAGGGTTTAGGATGGGTCGAACACAGCCGCACGGATTCGCCGGGCATCACGGAACCGCCGCGGCCCCGATCTTCGGGGTGCGCGCTGCCTATGTTTCACACACCCTGCCGGGCCCGCCGGCCAAAAGCGACACAGCCAGGCCCGCGCATGGCCCAAAAGGCTTTGCCGGGCCGTTTCACACGCGACTGTGGCGAGAGCACGATTTCGGTGGATACGTCCCCTAGGTTTGGCTCAAGTTTTCGTGGCCTCGGGCGTTCAGTGTCGATTCGCGGCGAGCCTGTGGCCGCCGTCGACCTGATCCGTGGGGATTTAGGATGCAGTCTCACCAGGATGCTCTTTCATGCTCGCTCTGTGCTCACTGATGCTTTTTTTTGATTTGTAGTGGTATTCAATTTCCTAGAGTGCTTTTTGCTGGGGTTGCTTTTGGATTGGTTCAGGGCACCCGAACCCTTTCGGCCCTGCTGTAGGTTGCTCACCATCTGCCCTGCAAGTGTTTTGCAAGTGAGTGCGCATCGGAGTGAGTCCCGAACCCGCTAGGCCCTCCCTTCGGCCCTGCATTGAACTTGTTGGTTTCCGCGCTCGCTTTCTCAAGGAGTGTAGGGTAGGGGCGGGGGGGTTGCCGGGCGGGCGGTGGGTGGGCGGGCTTTCGTCGCTGGGGCCTCAGAGTTTGGGAGTCTTAGGAGAGTCCGGTAGGAGTTGGTCGAGTGCGCACAGCAGCGCCCTGCCTTGCATTCCCGAACCCTCGCTCCGCCCAGGCTGGACATCTGCATCGCTTCCGCGACGCTCCTAGCCTCAGAGGGTTCTTAAGGCTTAAGGGTTTGTTCGGGTTTCCTGGGATTGGTGCCGACTGTGTGCGCACAGGAGTGCCCGTTGCTGCCGCCTCCCCCGCCCTGCCCGTAACTAGAGTGCCCTGCGTCCTCACCCGTCCGGAAGCCCCGGCCCCTCCTTCTTCGCCCAGGTTGGAATCTCCGGCGAGCGTCTTCGCCGACTTCGAAACGTCTGAAGCCCTGTTGCCTCTTTGAAGCCGGCTGGTTGGCATGTTTGGATGCTTTGGAGTGCTCTTGCTGGACAGCATTGGGGCCCGACTGCCAGTAGGCTTAGCGCCGACGCAGATACTTGGTTCCTGTGGCTAGCTGGTAATACCACGAAGCTATCATCTGTTGCCATGGTCCGCGTCGTATCACTGAGCGGGCGAGAGGTCGACGTCCCGCCGAGAAAGCCAGAGTGGCACTCGGCACCTGCCGCGGACGGCTTCTCCTCGGCACCGACGTCCTCGACTTCGACAGCAAGATGAAGGATGTGGGGGATGGAGTCCTGACGTTCCAGTCGATTTTGCCCTGCACGGTTGCGAATAGGAGCCCGTGCAATGGGAGTGCGTACGCGATCCTGCATGGCGATGGCACCGCGGAGGCGGTGGGGCAACCTTATGGCGGCGGCCAAGGCGGCGCAAAGAGGGTGAAAGCGGTGCAGTGCAACAGCCGCGCCTTCGCAGCCCTCTTGGATGATGGAGACGTCGTGGTTTGGGGTGACCAAAAATGTGGCGGCGAGCTGGAAGCAGGGGTGCGCGTGGAGGGAGTCGAGCAACTCCAGGCCACCGACACCGCCTTCATGGCCATAAAGTGGCATGGCACCATCGAGTGCTGGGGTAACCCGGACCGAGGCGGGACGGAGCCCCTTCTGCCCCAGGCCAGAGTTTTTGCGGCGGACACGGTGCGGGCGCTTCATGCCAGTCCACACGTAGACATCGACTTGGAGCTACGATACCTTACCATGAGATTCGGGCAAATCTTCCCAATTCCCTAACGGGGGCAGCTCAAGGCAGTGATTGGTGGCACGGCGTACACGAGCTAAGCTCCAGCGTGTACAGGCTGGTTTTCTGCGTGGCTGACGGGTCGATCCCGAGAGGCGTTCACTCGGTCCAAGGCCTCGCCGCTGGTGACAAAGTCCTGCCTACTGCTCTCTGTATTTGCATCGGCATGTTCCGCGAGTTGACTCTGCACTCAGACGTCTTCCAGGTTGGTGCAGCCCGCGGTCACCCTAAGCCCCGAACCCCGCTGGACCCGAACCCTCAGCACCCTAATCCCTACTAGGCGGCCCTGCGAGTGCCGTGCGTGTCGTGTGGGTCCCCCCCCCAAACTCCCGAACCTCCAGACCCGAACCCTCTAGAACCCTAATCCCTACTAGGCTGCCCTGCATCCGCCCTGCGTGTCGTGGACGGGGATGGGGATCGAAGTGATCACGGCGGCGCCGTGGGTCCGGAATTGAAATTTCTAAGTTGCCTGACCGCTAACGGCACCGGCCGCCGAGTCAGCCGTGCTTTAGGCTCCGCGGAGCCGCGGGGCACCGGGAGCGCATGCTTCAGCAGAGTCTCCGAACCGTCGGTGGCCCGCACCGTCATCGAATCGTAGCTCGAAACCTCCCGCACCGCCCCGTACTGGGGCTGGAAGCTCCTCGCCGCATTGGTGGGGGCCCGGAACGCCCCCGCCTCCTCGAGCTGCCGCTGACGGCTCCTCGTCAACTGGTCGTTAAAGCTCGCAGCCGGCATCGTCTCCACATCCTCGGGGGCCACCGTCACGGCCGCATGCGGCCTGGCATTGTAGGCTTCCGCCGCCTCTTCCACATGGTCGACCCAGCCCCCACCGTCCCGGGCCACCTGGCCAGCGGTCGCATTGCGGTCGGAGGGGTCCTTCTGCCGGTGCAGCGCGCCTCCGGGCAGCGCCGCCTCCAACCCCCGAAACTCGTTCCCCATGTCGGTCGTGACCACGATGTTGGTTTCGTCCTGGACCAGCTCGGGGGATCTCCGCCGCCGCTCGGGTGACAGTCTCCGCCCGCTTGTCGGGCAGGGCCTTCGTGGCCACCTCCCGGGTGAACACATCCGTCACCACAAGCCCCCCCTCGTGTTCTGGCTAAAGTCCAAAAGGTCCACTTGCAAGCGGTCGTTCGGCCCCTCCGCCGCGCTCTTCCCCCCGCGCACTCGTGAGGTCCCGCCGCTCCGGGAACTCCCGTCGAGCGATCTGGTAGAGCTTTCTAGGACCCGCACGTTGAAGTCTCGGGCCAGCCGCCCAAGCAGCTCCATCGCCCCGTCCTCTGCCATTTCTAATCCGTGTCCTTGCTCTTTTTGTTCTTCTCCAGGGCCTCCACTCTCCTTTGCAGCTTCTTCACCACGCCCCACAGCACCACCGAGAGCTTCTGGTAATCGAGGGCCATCAGCTCCCGGCCGTCCAAGTTCTTCGTCTTGCACAACGTTGCACCCAGCTTCCCGCTGGCCTGCACGTCCTGGGCCACGAAGCCGATCTGCTCTTTGCCGCCGTCGATGCGGTCGTAGAGCTGCGGCTCCACAGCGTCGAAGGTCTCCTGCAACTCCTCCTCCGGGATGGCCCGGACGTTCTTCCGCCCGGTCCGAGAGGTTCACGAATCCGTAACCAAAAATGCATTCGCCGTCATTGCTCCCGCCGATGTTGGGCTCGATGGCCAGATTGGCCAGGCCGTTGGTGGTGTTTAAACTTAGGAACTGGAACTGCGCGTTGAGCTCGCAATTGCCGCCGGCCAGCACCTTGAGCTCCGCCACACCCGCCTGGTTGTTGGCGTCGAGAAGCAGCTTGGCATCTCCCGTGGGCGCGGCGTTGCGCACCACGACTCCCACAGTGCCGTCCGTGGGCCCCACTGGTGCCGCCTGACAAGCTCAGGAAGGGCAGGCTGGCCTCGGGGCCCAGCGTCCCGTTGATCCGCACGGTGTCGTCCATCATAATCCCGTTGGTGCCACCCTGGACGGTGAGCCAGGGCGCCGCCGGATCAGAGCGCACCAGGGCGCTTCGAGCCTGAGGTCGCTCGTGATCTCCTGCGTGGCCGTCACCGAGCTGCTGCTCGCAAAACTCCCCGTGGCAGCGGTGCTGCCGACGAAAAACTGGGCGACGTCCGCCGTGGTTGCATTCAAAGTGCGGTCCGAGCGCACGGTGATGTCTTGCTCCAAGCCGATGCTTCCGGCAGCGAAGGAGGCCACCAATGTGCCGTCTTCGGCGCGGATGGTGGTGGTGCCGTTCCGGATTTGGAGATCGGCTGCAGCGCTCTGCAGCAGTGGTGTCTGCACGAAACTTGTGACCGTGAGGCTGTTGACGGTGAGGTCCGCCGTGGGGTCCACTCCTGGGCTGTTCTCCAGGTCGGTGACGCGCTGGCCCAGCGAATTGAAGTTGGCTATCAATGGATAGCGGGTGTCAGACTGTCCCTTCGACCAACAATCGCACGATATTTGGAGGGTGCTGCCGTTGCCCAGGATGGGCTGGGCGGAGAGGGGCGATTGGCACAGGAGGTTTCTGATGATGCGAGGGGTGAACTGGGTCTGGACCAGGTTGAAGATCCCGCCGCCCTCTGCACCGGGGCTGTTGACGAAGTAGCGGGCATCGAGCGGGCCCAGGTCGTTCGTCCGCAGGAACCGGCTGTCTGCCTCCGCCTTGGTCCAAGAGTCGCAGCGGAGCCGCAACGTGCTTTGGTTGCCGAGAATGGCGTCGCCCGACAGGGGGGCCTCCAAAAGCAAATTGCGCACGATCCGCGGAGTGAACTGCTCCTGGATCAAATTGAAGATTTGCCCCGACTCCGCACCGGGAGCCCGCGCGAAGTAGCGCAGGTCCGCATCCGCCTGGGTTTGGAAGCCCGCGCCGGCGATGGCATCGTCTATCTCCGTTTGGGTGCGCCCTGACGTCCAGTATTGGGTGAGCGTGGCCGTGAGCAGGGAGTCCAGCTCGGTTCGGGGGTAAAATGCCAGCAGCTCGTTGGCCACGTAGGCTTGCGTCCCGGCCTGGTCGTAGTAGGTCGACAGATCCACGTTGCCCAGGGCGTTGGCTATCTGCTGGTCTACTTCGGCCCGCGTGTAGACGTCCAGCAGAGCAGTTATTATTTTGCTGTCGACGACCCCGCTGGGGTCATAGCTCGACAGGGCCGAGGAAATGCTTGAGCTGACGGAGGCAGACGTCGCGTAGTTGGCCAGCTCTCCCGCCACGAAGCTCGAGACCTCGGCTTGGGTCCAATAAGCCAGCAGAGCTTGGTCGATCAGGAACTGCACCCCCGCAGCGTCCTGGTACTGCCCGACGTTCAGGGCAGCGGCATCGGAGATGGCAGGGCATCGGCGATGGCCGTGCCCACCTGCAGCGTCGTGCTGTAGGCGGCCAGGGCGGCCAAGATCTCGTTGCTCACCCAGGCCTCGCTGGCCAGGGGAGCCAGCAGGGCGTCCGTCTCCCCGCGACTGTAACTGTCGCAGGCGAAGCTGAGCGTCCAATTGTCGTTCGCGAGGGCGATGCTCAGCGGCCCCGTGGCGTGCAAGTTGCGGACCGTGTTAGTCCCGGCCAGCAGGTCCCAGGTGATCTCGCCGGGCCATGCTGGGGCATTGTGACCAAGTTCGTCGCCCCGCCGACTATCAATATCCGCCAGGATGGCATCGATGGATGCCTGCAGGGCCGTGATCTCGCTGGGCAGGGCGAAGGGCCCCGCGCTCTGCAGCGCCAAGATGTCGGCGTCGTGGCCGTCTCAGAGCCGCCTGCTGGACGTAGGCCGTGGCGACCCGCTGGTCCACGTCGGCGGCTGTTTGCCGGGCCGCCAGATCGATCGCCAGCTGGTCCACCACCGATTTCAAAGCGTAGTTGGCCGCGACAGTCGCCAAGGTTGCGTTGTTTGTGGAAGCGATGCTGCTGTTCATGGCCGCCGCGGTCGGATGGTTGGCCAGCTTGAGGTCCACCGAAGCGGGCGTGCTCTTGGCATTGACCTCCACCTAAAGAGCATCCAGGGCCGACTGGTTGGCCTTGGTGGCCAGGCCCTGGGTCAGGCTCGTGTTCACGGCCACCAACCCGGAAGCGTTGGCCACGATGGAACCCTCTGCCGCGGCGAGGTCCGCGGCCAGAGCATAAGGGGTTAGGTCCGGAGCTGCGGGCAGGGCGGCCACCTGGCCCTGTAGAGCTGCGATGGCGGCGGCGTTGACTCCGATGGCCGCGGTGTTGGCCACGGTTTCCGTTTGGGGCGTATAAGCCGTGAGCACGGTGGCCAGCTGCCCGGCGGAGATGCCCTGGAGCTCGATGACCGGTGGTGCCGTGACGCCGTCGTCGAGGATCCGCCCGGTCAGGGTGGAGGGAAAGAGTGACATTTTTATCTAGTGCCCCCGGGCTCTGCGCCGCCGGTCCAAGCTCGCGGCATGTTCTAAGGTGCTCGAAGAGGGCAAAAAAGGTGAAACAAATCGCTCAAAACGCCCATATCATCAATCGAGGACACTCACGCCGCTACCGCTGAGCGTACAGATTTGCATCGAGACCAGCCCGATGAAGCACTGATCCACGCGGTCCGCGAGCATGTTCTTGAATGTGAAGCGGCACAGGTCGCCGCTCCTTGTCGACAAACCGCTTGTGGGGTGCTTGGGTACACGCTCGGTGGGGAAAGCCGCGATGAAATTCGTGTTGTCGTATAGCGGGAGGCGCATATTTCTCAGCTTTGAGTCATAAGTGCCGGCCATGATAGCGAGGAAGTGGTGGTACTCGGCGATGCTCTTGACGCTGTTTCTAGGGAACTGGAGCGCCCCGAGCTGCAGCTGGCCCTCCATGACCGTGGCCGCCGAGACGTTCGGGAAGGCCTCGCCGGGGTACTCGAAGTTGGAAACGTGGTTCTCACCCGTCTTGTTGAAATGCACGAACGCTCCCATCATCTTGGTAAAAGCACGACTTACCGTAATGTTGTAGCTCGTGGAGCCCGCTGGGATCGAGGACTGCTGCACGTGGAGGCTCGGAAAGCTGAAAAGGAGCGACCTATTCGACAATAATATTCGATCGAAGCTCTCCCAGAGGGCACTATCGAGGGTCACTTGATCGGCCAAAAGGTGCACATTTTCGATCTGATACGACAGGCTCGAGCCCACGCCGGCGCGCATGGCCTGCTCGGGCTCGGCGAACTCGATCTCCAGGACGAGATTTAGCTGCGGCGGGAGCATCTTCCCACAGTTGAACATTCCAATGAGGTGCGGGTGCATCAGCACATCGCGCTTTTGCCCCGGCTGCACCGGCTGCGCCCAGCCGCCGGCGTCCACCGGGAGGCCCTCCCAGTGCAGCTCCGTCCACCAGTCCGACGGCTTGAGTAGCGAATACATGAAGCAACTGCGCCCGTAGTAGCTGATGTCTTCCACCCGTTGCCCGTTGGCCATCAGCTGGATCCTCTCAATGAAACAACTAGGGTCCGGCGAGCCGCAGAGCACGTCCGTGTTCCGGAAGGTGAAGGCCAGCTTTATGGACTCGGGGTCTACGAAATCGGAGCCGCTTATTGTGATTGGTATACGACACACCCGCGACGTGCTTGGCGTAAAAGTGCTCAGGGAGCTCGGAAAGTATTGCACCGATTTTCTGGACTGAATGTAGTTGGTGTTCCCCGTGGACAATTTGTAGTCTAATGAGGCCGTTAATTCGTCACTCACGGCTTGTGTAACCTGCTCCATCACTCTTTACATACATATGCAGCTTCCGGTTCGCTCACCTGACGAAGGGCGTCGAAGGACGGCTGGGTGCCCAATGGTCCCCGGTCGCCGCGCGACTGGCGGCTGACGCGGGAGCGGTCGCTGCCGGAAGACACTGGGATCGGGATGTTGTTGAGGCCGAAAGGGGTTTGGGCCTGGGGCTGCCGGCGCCGCACCGGGCGGGCCACGATGCGTTGCTGGCTGTGGCCGCGGCTCGCTCTCCGAGTCCGTGTCAATCCTGAAGACCTCCGGCCTCCGCTGGGCCCGGCGCTGCTCCTGGATGAAGTATAGTGGTCGATGGCGCCCGACTCTTGCATCTGGTTCAGGGTTTGCACGTCGGTGGTCGCGCTCGGCCGCGAGGCGTCCGAATCCGTGCCGCCTCCCGTCGCTGCGCCCCAGCCCGTAGGGCGGAGGCCGTTCCGACCAATGCCGCACCTGCAGCGGCCACCGCCAATCCGCCGCTCGCCGCACCCACGGCGCCAGCAGTCGCCAGGGCTCCCTCGCCCAGGAGCGCAAGAGCTCCTCCACCCGCTTCCGCCGCGGTTGCAGCTTCGGCAGCGCTCGCCGCAGCCTCCGCCACCGTGGCAAAGCCTTCCGAAGCCTCTGCTTCTGCCAGCTGCTGCGAGGCAAAGGCCTCGATGTCTTGAGCCGCCGCGCGCTCCACCTCCGCGGCTCTCTGGCCCGCTCGCTCGAGCAGGGGCTCCACTTCGGAGGGCCTTCCGATGATCTGAGGACCTGGTCGGGCGGCGGGGCCAACCCCGGCGGCCTCCTGGGAATCCTCAGGGTTCTGTCCAGTCGCCGCCGCCCCTGAGGACGTTCATCGTCTGGTTCTCGGAGATGCTCCTCACCGCCGCCGCAGCGCCCGCAGCCCCGCCGGCGATGAACATTTTCTGCTTGCAGACTTTTCTTTCTTTTAAAAACCTGACAGGCAGCAGAGCTGCCGTGTTTTGCATGTGAGTTTTGAAGAACATTTCTTGCATGAGAACTTTCATTGTCTTTGAATAAGCAGATCGGATACCTTTGGCTTTCCCGCGAGTCTGCTCAAAGAGAGAGGCAAGAAATTTTTCTTTCGAGGCCTCTACAGTCCCGTATTGTGCAAGCTAACAGCCTCCAGGTGCTAATCTCAGGGCTTTAGCTGCGTGCACAGTGCCCCCTGTTGGGGGCGCTAGATGGACGGGACAACTCCTGCGCCTCAGTCGGCGCCAGCCACGTGCCCTGTTACAGGGCAGCTTCTGCCGCAGGTCGCCGCTCCGTCTGAGCCGGCACCCTTCCCGCCTGAGCCTCCATTGTCCCTGCCGCCAGGATTGCCTTCGGCCGGTCCCGAGTCGGTGTCCGGGGGTGTTAG